AAAAAAAAAAAAAAAAAAAAAAGAAAGAAGAAAAGAAAAGAAAAGATTAAACGGGTAACTTCAAATGGAGGCTCACAGAGACACATCGACTAGTTGGACCAATTTATATCCTATACCTTCCATTTGTTTTTCTTTTATCAAGGAACTCTATGATTTCTCTCCAATCTCCAACAAGATAGTCATTAAGGGTGCACTCAAGCTAGTAGAAGGAAGAAATCCTTAAATCTTTTAGACACTCACTTCGAGAAATTGGGAAGTTTGTTAAGTCTTCAGAGAACAGGGGCAAAGGGAATTGATCATATAAGTACTCTATGTCATCATATGCGTTTTTACAAACAACATAAATAACATGACAGACATTGGAAATCCTTTCTGGCTTTTGTTGATATTGAAGATATGAAGTTTTATATTGCTAAATAACCAAGCAGGTGCTAGTTCCATTGAAGGTTTGTTTGTAATCTTGATTGTAACGAAGCAGGCACTCTGTTGTAGTTCTAATGATGGCGACTTTGTTGCAAGGACATAAAGATTAGGACATTTTAACTTAGGCAGTTTGCCTTCTCACTTGACTCTTTCTGAAAGCTGCTTTGACTCTTAGGAAGAGTGGGCATTTTCTATTGTTAGCAATATTCAGCCCATTCTGTTCTTTATGCAAAGATTGCTAGTCAACTTATTCAAATAGGAACCGTTCCAGCTAAACTTGTTCTAAGAAGTTCTCATAATTTGTCTGTGTCCATCATATGAATTGTGGTCATGTTCAAAGTTTTCATAATTTGTTTTGTGTTATACAAATAGTTTCTAAAGGCAAAGCCAACATGAGCATAGCCCAATGGTTAATATATCTATTCCTCTCCCTTGAGATTAGAGGTTCAAATCCCTATCGTCATGTATATATATTGTAAAAAAGTTAGTTTGGACTGTTTTGATTCAATTTGTAAGAGTATTTTATAAATCCTAGGCTCCTTTAAGTACTCATGAATTTGTTGAAAGCTTTAAGTGTGTTGTATTTACCAGCTATGCTGAAGGTAAGATAGCTGGATGGATAGGTCTGAAGAAAAAAGTTATACGCTGGTCACTGCTACAGCTAATATTACTGCAGCCAAACCTTCTATAGTGGGGAGAATTTGATTGTAAAATTTTCCAATGCACAAGCAAGTTGATGGAGAGATGATTGGCATCTGTTATAGGAGCAAATATGTGATCTATTTTTGAGTTAAGCTTACTCGAATGAAATCATGAATTATCTTTGAACTGGAAGGTTCCTTTCTTGGCAAGAGTTTCTATGAGCTTGTCTGGTGCTGTATGACACTGATATTCTATGTTATAGATGTAGTGTTCAAATTGAGATGGAAGAAATATACTACATTTGAAGGTTTTGGAGAATCCATTCTTCTTTCTTTTATGTCCTATTCTCTCTGTATTTAATTTATATGAAACTCTGATGCATTATATTGAGAAAGAGCATGCAAAGGAAAGGGAGATGAGATATTCCCACAAGACCAAACAGTTGCAAAAAGGGTGGCTCAATTGGTCATAATCTGTACGAGGTCATAATTACAAAATTTCAAAAAATATTAGACAGAGAACATCAGATGAAAGCAAAGAGATAAACAGAGTTTCAAAAAACCTTTTGTTAGAATAAATTTCTTTGAAGACCCTCAGCCTTCAAACAATAGGTGTCACTGCAATTGACCACAAAACTCTAGCCATGACCTTTAAAGGGATTGCCCCTCTTAAGCTGAAGATACGCCTCATCAATTTTATTAGGAAACAGCAATGAATACCCAACAGATTGAATAATATGTCCCAGTTGGCTCTCTCAAAAGCACAGTGAAGGAAGAGGTGCTTTGAAAGAGATGCTCGCATTTCGTACCAACTAGGGGGAATGCAAGGATTTGAAAGAGGTGCTCGCTACATTTTTTTAGAACGTATCATTTTGGCCTTCAGAAGTGGAACTCATCATTATTATGGAATTTGATAGGCGGTTCTCTTTTTGCATCCATTGATACCCTTAAATTTGAGAACGGATATTAGAAAATCCATCGTTTACTATGCACAGTGAAGTGGCGTGTGTGCCTCCCCTGATTCATGTGCTTTGCCTTTATTTTCTTCCTCATTTTATGTAGAATCCAAAGTGAACAAAGTAACAAGAGTTTGTGTCGATGGGAAATCTTCTTAGCAACCAATAAATTACTTAGAATTCTAAAGCCTTAGGGGTTTTTGACTTTGACATGTGGGAATGAGAATGTGATGTCTACTAATTGAATAATCATGTCTGGTATGTTGGAATGACATATTGGAATATTATTTGAATTCTTAATCTATATGTATTTATAAATCAATTAATTGTACATTTAGATTTAATTTTGCTAATAAGATTTTATTTAATAAGTTTCTTATACTAAATTTGAAATGAATTATTTCTAATTAAAAACAAATAATTAAAATAGATTTTATATTAACTATTTTCCCGGTTTAATGTGTCAATGTCCAATTCTACTACAGGTTTAGGTGCCAATGTCCAATACTCATACAGGTTTAGGTTTCCCATTCCCCCACTTCGTTACGGCATGCTAAACAGCCCTTAATCGTTTTGTATATTCTGAACAACCATAAATAAGTTCCCGGCTGCTAGTGCACTGTGGCTTCTCTTACCATTCTTAAGGAAAACTGATTTGGTGCAATTGTGAAAGCTATCCTTGCCTTGCATGGTTAGAAAAATGATCAGGAGGAAATTTCAAGGACAAGACTGAGGATTCTGGTTTTGGCATTCAGGGGAAATCTGAGAGGCAGATAGTTTTTTGTGTTATTCTCAGGCGTTCTCTTGCAATTATAACATCCTTTTAGTTAATGTCGTTTGGAGCATCCTGGAGGGTAGGAGGATAATTCATCTTCCTTCCCCTCTTTGTAGTTTTTCTTGGGAGTATCCTTAAGTCCTAAACATTATCATGTTCGTGCTACATTTTCTAAAAACAATTGCTTATTCATTCCCAATCAAATGATTCAGCTTGAAGTGAAACTGCAAGCCTTCAAGCCTATGACAAGCCCTTCTCTTTTTACTGGTAAGTAGTAATTCCTCCAAAAAATGTCCTAGCAAAAGAATATTCCCATCATATTCCTCTCTGGGTTAGGTCCGACTTTTCTCCTACTTGGTCAGTATCTATATTCTGCTCTATTAGATTGGAGATTTAGTTTTGCGCTTGATGTTTGGCTTTTGAGATGCATCCCATTTACACTTTATATGTATGCCAACCCTCATGGTGTTTTTGTGACAGTCGAGTAGAAGAAGGGTACATGAATGAACAAAGACCACATCCGAATGAGAGAGATCACGAGGATAAGATAGCTAAAAGGCTTAAAAGAATTGAAAGTAACTACCTATTCCAACAAGATGCATCTTCCTTTTCGGTGGCTCAATCATAGAAACTCCATATTTAAGCGTGCTTTGCTTGGAACAATTTTATGTTGGTTGACTTCTTAGGAATTTTCTTAGGATGCATACGAGTGAGGGCAAAGCATGCTAAAAGGACTTGTGTTAGTCTATGGGGAAAGTCTTCACTTTTAGAAGCGAGAAGTAGGTAACGTGGCCATCAGGTGCCGAATCTGGATTCCAAATCCTCATCCAAATTCTGGCATGAGTCGTTACAACTAATTATATGGGTATGATTTACTGGGCTATTCTCTGTCCTTGCATGGTGGTGAGAATAGGAGCTTTCTCTGTCTTGGATGTTTTAATTTGCATGATTTTGTTGGCTTGAGATGGTTCTTCTTTGTTCTGTTATGATAATTTATTTGATTTAATTTCTTCGTTTCATTGGGGATGGTTTTTAGTATTTATATTTGTTCTTCCCTCTACATTTTCTGATTTCTCTTTCCCTCCACCCCTTTGAATTTTCTCCTACCCTTTATTAATGGTTATCTTGCTGGGTGATTGATCTCAGGAACTTGCAGAACATCCTTTCATCCAATTTGTGCAAGGGAGGCTAGGAATAGAATGGAGGTCTGGGCAAAATATGGGTGTGATAATGTAAGTGTGAATTATTCTCATTCTAGAATTGAGTCTGATTACAATTTCAAATGTGACTTCAATCAAAACAAATTAATTGTGACGGTAAAATGTTAGGCAATCACCTTTATTTATCAAATTCCCCGATGTATTGTGTAAAAAGTGTACATTTCTTGAAGACCTAAAGTGTTACTTCTATTAGGTGGAGCTTCGTGCTTTCTGTTCAAAGCATTCAGAAAGTCAATATTGTAGGAGCAGTGGCCGATTTCAAGACCCTTTTGAAGCTGTTAACAGTGGCTCACATGTGGTCAACCACCTTCCAATGACATTATCAGTTAACAGACCACAAAAATTAGTTGGGAGAAGGAACATTGATAACCTTTTACTCTGTAAGGATGCTTCTGATTCCAACCCTGGAAAATTGGACGATGGAAAATTAGAAGATATAGGATCTGCTTATCCCAGTTTAAATGCTGATTCTGATTGTGTAGATACACATAAATGTACTGTTCAGGGGGTTGAGGATGTCAACCCACTTGACTCCCTTAAGTTTGCAACAATTATGAAAAAGGCAAGTTTGCAAATTTCTGTTTCCTCTTTTATGGACTCTTTCTTTCTAGGTTTATCGTACTTAAATTGTATGTCTACCTTCTTGCAGTTGATCGACCAAGGAAAAGTGGATGTTAAAGATGTAGCATCAGAAATCAACATACACCCTGATTTATTATGTGCAAAACTTACTGTAATGCCTGTAATTGTTAACTTGTTTATTTTTTTTTTTTTAAAATATTGTTTTGGACTCTTTCCCAATAAAAATCTTGTCAGCTCTTTCCCAGTAAAAAAAATCTTGTCAGCTCATGACGTCCTTCATTTTGCAGGCTGAAAACCTTGTCCCTGACCTGAAAGTCAAAATTGTCCGATGGCTAAGAAATCATGCTTATATTGGCACCTTGCAAAAAAATTTGAGAGTCAAACTCAAATCGGCTGCTTTACCCAAAGCTGTTGTTGGAGCTGCTCATTGTTCCAACTCTTCATCAGTTCCTGATTCTGATGATTCAAATCTTGTTACTGATAAGATGGTTATACCTCAAAGAAAAGCTAAAAACACTATAAGCCTTTTGAAGAATGATGAAATCAAATCTTCATCTGAAGAAATAGTTGGTGGCCATGGTCTAGCGGTGCAAAGTGGTATCTTGGACCAGAAAGCTTGTGAAGAACAAGCTGATTCAAATAAAGAATGCATCCAAGACACTGGAGAGAAGGTGAGAACATTAACATTTTTTTACCATTCTTTTTTTGGGGCCTTGATTATTTACCCCATGGAATTATGGGATGAGTAGTACAGTTATGGTTTGCTCCCAGTTGGCCATGTCAGGTTTCTTCGATTTACTGGCTGGTGAACTTATAAAGTATCCAGTTATTGAAAAAAGGAAAAAAGAATGTTGTTTGTTTCTTGTGATGTTTGCTCCCACTTGACTACGTTTGCAGTACATGGCATTGACTATGTTTCTGGAGTGGCTTGATACTAAGGAGAACATGGTATAGAGGTTGTGGAAAGTATTCACCAAGTATTACATGCTAATTCGAATCTGTTGTTTGTCAAAAGATAGGAATTCTCTGGGTACAAAATTTGGAACTATATTTTTTACTTCAATTTAAAATTGGCATTTCATTGTGATGGATGATGACGTACTTTACAATGTCACATCCTTCTATCTTACATGTTCTGTTTGTTCAACCGGTGTTTTTGACTAGTTTTAGATTGGTATGAATTGGGAAGGTCGGAAGTGATAATATTGTTTATCTGGCTACCTCATGGTATAAATTGTTAACTCTTTTTCATCATTATAGCTACTCTACACTTTTGTCCAATTGGAGAAGTCTTTTGTAATTCCTTTGGGTTGACGCTCCCTTTTTCTTTAACTTCTTTCTGTAATTCATCCATCAATGGAATTTTTTTCTTATTGAAAAAAAAATCTGAGAACCTTCCTTTTCTCTTCCCACAGCTAATGTTTCTTGGTTTCTCTATCATTTCATTGGTTGTAACGTAGCCTGCTGTCACATGTCACTATTTTGCCCCTCAAACTAAGCAATTCACCCTGAAGCCATATGGTCTTGAGGTGGAAGTGGGGAAACTATGCATCCACTGCGTACTCTCATGTTGCTTCCTTCATGGCCATAACTTCTCGGTCAGGTTAATACTCGAGAAGATTCTTGTCTTTTGAGTTGTAGCAAACCCCTAAAGCGGCGTTAGGTTCTGTTATCAAGTGTAAGGAGGAAGCCAAGATGAATGATAATGATAGGTGACGAGGATTAGGTAATCGCCCTTATGGATTATGTTAGTGATAGCCCAATCCACCGCCACTCCAGCTCTTTGATTACTGTCCATTTTTCCTTTTTTCTCTCTTCACTTTCTATGTAGAGATGTGAATTTGAATGTTGGGTAGATTTTTTATCGGAGGAATTTGAAGAAGGGCACGGAATTTGGCAACTTTAAGTCACAAAGTAGGTTTTAGTGGAGTCCTCAAATGAGAATCAACCAAAATTGCAAGATGCCCATCCGCTCAAATTTTAACTAGCAGGAGTTTCAAATATACCCAATTTCTTTTATACCAAAAGCGTTTAGTAATGCATGTGTTCCTTGGCTTGCAGGGATGTCCCTTCAAGTCTTTTAGCATTATACCTCTCATTATGAGATGGTATCCCACCTTAGAGACAATGGGAGTGTGACTATCCCACTCAGAGTCAATCAAAGAGTAGGGTGCATAACGGGGAACTGGTCTCATCCATCAATAAATTAGAAGGTGGTTGTTATTGTTGAACTGTGGCTAGAATTGTACTAGAGTTCTGCCTAGGGAAGTTATTGAAATTCAGTGCTTTGAGAACATGATACAATGCCACTACAAATGTACACACGTTACACTCATGACAAAAAGAAGCAGTCATGTATGGAACTCATTAGTTGAATTTTTCTTTATGCAATATTTTTTTCAGTATCCGTATTGTAAGAAGGAGTCCTTCACCTTCATTTCTATCTTTAGTTATTTCATTTGTTTTAGGAGGACAATCCTCCATGTTTGAGTCATGGTTCCATTGATGTAGCAATAGTTATCATACAACTTTTATAAATAGTCAATGAAAGTAGTACCTAAAAATTTTCAATTTATTCTTGAGTACTTTATCTTAGAGGTGTTAAGGTTCCCTCTATTTGAGCCTTACAATTATTCAAAATAGGTCGAAAGAAGAATTCTACTTGTTCCCTCACACAAACACCGTCTACCTCCACTTACGAGAGACCCATAACTCGATTGCAGAATTGGGCCCGTAACAGAACACCTAACTAGGTTCCTCACATCCATTCACTATCTCAGTTTACTATTGGTTTGGAGATGGTCATTGTGAGACGCCATATCCCCATTGCTGCAACATTTCTTCAGGAAAGATCCTGGCCACTCTAGCTGCAGGAAATGTGTGCCTTTAGGGTACTACCTGAGCTCATTTGAAGTGTCCATCCACTACCACTTACCTTAGATGTTGGAAGGCCTTTATAATTTATATGATTATATCCTTCCTTAAAACAATTATGAATTGTAGTAATGCTGTTGATGTAGGGGTTACATTCTGAATCAATGGCAACCTTTGCATTGCCAGACTTATTATTATTATTTTTTTGGGTAAGTAACCATGGTTCATGGAAAAAGAGGAGACTCTAACCAGAAATGTGTCATGGGATAGCACTTGAGAATTTTTGACTACCTGCCTATTTGACTATTATGAAACTAGTAGTTAAGGATAGCATTTGGCATCAGTTCCCATTTCCTTTCTCATTTTTAAGAAACATGTGAACACTTTTGGAAACAACAAAATCAAGTATTTTTTTTTTCCCGGTTCTCATTTCCTTTTTTCTCAAAAACACAAATAAATACATAGTTGTATCATTTGGTTACCAAGCACTCTTATCTTTCTTCTTTATTGAAAAAAGAATGAACTAGAAACAAGTAGTAGTTACAAAATAATGTTTTTTTTTTCTTTACTACTAAACAAGAAACAGAAAATAAGAAACATGTATGTTAGAAAATTGGCCCTAAGTTAGCAAATTTTCTGTTCCTTTTTCTCTTACTTTAATATGATGCAAGGATATTGGTTAAGTGCCTTGATTATAAGAAGGTTTTTTACCCCTGTTATACGCAGGCTGTGGTTTATCTTTTTCCTTTTCTATTGACTGACGTTTCTCATCTTGCTGCACCTTATATTTTGCAACAATTGGCCGAAGATGTTTATGAAGTTGCACATTTTGTCCCAAAAATTTCTCGAGTTACTTTAGTTCACAATTCTTTTTTAGTTTATGATTTTTTTTCCCTTAACCACCTTAAGTGATTTTGTTTTATCCATGCAGCATTTAAATGAGCATGACAGTTCTCAAGATTCCCCTTCAAGGAACTTTCCAAATTATGTAGGTATGTTATGAAGTTTATCGATTCTTCTCTGCATGTTTCCAGCTCAACCAATTTTTTTTGCCTCCCATATTTCTTTGATTCATTCAAAACAAAATTTTAGTTTTCAGTAGACATTGACAAGTTTCTAGTTTTATGATTCTTCCAGTCGACTTGGTGAGAAAAATTGTCTTTGATAACTAGTTGATCCCTGCCCCTTTCTTCCTTGGATTTTATAATTTGTTGCATTTGAATTTCTTGGCTTAGTCTTGAGTTCAAAATAAACATACCAAACCTAATCTTGACAAGAAGTGAAAGTATGAGTAATGGAGTTCATTTCATATTGATGGCGATTGGAACTCCGATTATATTCAACATTTTGATCTAAACCCACAGTTTTAATTTTTGTTTTTATGAGCAACCGATGTTAGCAGTGTAGAATCATAAAGGTTCCAGCTAAGTATAAGTGCACACTGTTAGAATGAAAGTTTTCCAACTATCAAAGCCCAATGGAAGGGTATAACAAAAGTTCAATTTGAAAGAGAAGACCTCGAAGTTTGGGATCGAAGTAATCAAGATAATAATCGAGATGGTTGTTGGTTTATGAAAAGAAAAAATAAACAAGGGTGATAAAAGAGAGGAAAGCAGGGATTAGACAGACCTTTGGGGTTGTAACTTACTGACTCAACTAGGAAGGGTTAATAGGGACTCATGCTCATATGCGCCTACAACTCACCCTTTCGGGTACAAAAGGGTTCAAGCAAAATGCTACCTGTTTGTGCTCACAACCTACCATTTTGACCCTTTATATCATGAATTGAGTTCAACACCTATTCAACCGTTACTTAAATGCTTTTAAGAGCCTCAAACGATGCTAAGTGTTGACCATCTTTGAATCCTCAAAAACAATCTTAGCTCTTATTAAAGTAAACGGAACTAAATTGCACGAAAATTAATTTCATGTTAAAACTGAATGAATTACAGAAGAGTGCAAAACAAGAAAAACAGTAAAGCCTAAAATAGAAATGAAAAGTGGATCTCTTTGTGATCTAGGATTGTTGAAGATATTAGATGCTTTCTTGAAGTGCAATATGGACCCTTGAAGCCTAGGGTTTTTGCCTAGATTAGTGTGTTGAGCTATCTTTGACATTATATCTGATATTTAAGGAGATTGATTGGAGAATCTGTCAAATTTGTAAATCACGCATTATCTGTTGATTTGGTTCAGTTGCAGCCACATGTTGGTTGCAAGTGTGGTTGCAGTTTGAGCACCTTCTAGCTTTTGCTAATTTTGCTCTTTGGTTAATATGTGGGCGTAATTCTGATCACAACTGGGACAAAATACAACTTTTGCACTAAAACACAAAAACTTATCAAATTCTTAAAAAATTTAGTCTTTTTTACATCTAATTACTTTCTTTTAAAAACTCATGATTACAAACACGTGCTTGACTTGTTTTTACTAAAATTTGCTCTATATAATATGATTTACAATGTTGAACACTTAATTTCTAAACCATAAGCTTAAATTAGGTCTTAGAGCTAAATAACCCTAAAAAAATGAGAGTTATCAGGAACTAAGCTTTTATCCCAATGAAAGGAAAGAATACAAAAAAGGCATTTAGGCCGGTGAGTGAGATTTCTGCTCATTGCAGTCACCCCGCGGATCTTCGCACCGGGATAGTACTAGGACCAGAGACAGCCCACCAATGAGGCCAGGCTCTTAAACAAAGCTTTCAATTCACAACAATTAGCCAAGATGATTGCAAAATTTCTTGAAATTAAGCTAAGAACAGCAAAAAATTCAACTATTCCTTTCCCCTCAAATACTTCGAAAGAACCGTAAAAAAGCCAGCCTTCCTTATAAACCGCCTCAGTCATGAAAAGGTGGATGAAGAAAAACCTCCTCCATAGAAAGACACAATCGTTGTTTCTTTCTATTCACACTGCAAATATCTGAAATAAAAACAATCCCAAATGGATATCTAAAACCATAAGCTAACAGTATGATATATTTTATAAAATGCATGGTGCAGATTATAGTTTCCGCTCTTTTTTGTTAGAAGTAATGGATTACTCTTGAGGATTTAGAGTGCAGGTCACATTTTTTCATCCTTTTTGTAAGAGGTTCCAATAATAGAAGTTTAAAACTGATTTTTGTTTTCTGTTTTTGAGAAGTAATTGATTCTTTCTGTTTTTGGTTTCTTAAAAATCTTCCTGAGTTTTTATAGTTTTGTTCAATCACTCTTTATAAGTATCATCCTTTGCTTCAATTGGAGGCAAGCTATGAGTCGTTATGTGAATCCTAGCTTCACTGGTTTGATGTTGTGCCATTTTGATGTTTTTTTTAAATCATTTTAGATGTTTTTGTGCTTTCTTTGACATCCCCCCCACCCCACACACACACACTTATGAACTTGTTGGATCCTTGGATTTTCTTTCCCCCCTAGAATACCACTGAATCATTTTTCTGTTAAATGTTTTGCCTCGCAGAGGGTGATCATTTGGAGGCTCCCATTTCTGGTCATTATTCTTCAATAAGTGCAGTTCATGGGTATGTGGTTATTTCATATCTATTGTTATTTCAATTTAAAGGCTATTGACAAATAACTTCTATTCAGATATTATCTGCTTATGTCACAAGTTTTCTAATCATTCTAGATGAACATTTTGCAGAAAGGCTAGGGAGTCCCCTGATTCTTATTGTCATCCATATGTCCAAGAGAAGATGGCACATATGTTGGATGGAAAGCTTCTTGGTAACTTCATAGTTGGATCTCGTGGTAAAGTTTTTCATGCTACTTAGTATGCATTGAATTTATTATGATATTATTTTATTTCACAGATGTGTTTGAAGGAGAGATGTCTCGTTGGCAAGCATCTTCCAATGTAAGCGTTTGCTGTGATCACCAACACCAGTATCTCGAGTGCAATGATGTGAGTTGCAAATCTGGTGGATTTAATCCGACGCAGCAAATGAATAAAAAAATAAGTGGAATCATAAAGTTGTCTCCAGTAGATGAAATTGAAGGAGAAATTATATTTTATCAGCATAGATTACTTGCAAATGCAGTTTCAAGAAAGCGGTTCACTGGTAATTTAATTGTTCTTTCGATCTTCAATGTATTTGTTGATCTTTTTAGTAATTGTTCTTCTGCCCCCTCCCCCATGAAAATTGGAAAGCATTTATTTATCATAAATGACTGTTGAAAGGAAAAAGCAATTTAAATCAGATAGTTACCCTTGAACCTTTAGGCTTTGCCTTTTGATTGCTCAACTTCCAAATGGTCTTATTTAGTCCTCCAGTTATTTTGGCTCTTATCATTATTCTACCAGCTACCCACTCTGCCCGATTTTCACATGAACCAACCTATATGACCTCGGTACATGCCCATGTAGCATGTTAATACCTGTATTTGAAGTTGCATCATTCATTAATGAAACAATTGACAAAAAATAATGGTAAACATCTAATAGGTTCTTTTTTATAAGAGCTTTAGGGACTAAGCAAGGAATAAAAGGTTATTTTTTATTATCAATATTATTTACCTTTTTTTAGACTTAAATTAGACTTTTATTAGTTTAGGATTGAATTGAAGTAAACTTTAGTTTAAAGACTAAAAAGGATTGAAGCAAAAAGAGAAAAAAAAAAAGTCTGATGCTTGTTTACTCACCACAAACGGCAAGAAAGCATCCTATGCTAACTAATTTTGTGTACTACTTTGCAATAGCTTTTGTTTGAATGGTTTTTGCAGATCATTTAATTTGTGATGTTGTTAAGAGTCTTCCTAAGGAGATTGATGAAGCAAGAAGTACGAGATGGGATGCCGTTCTTATTAATCAGTATTTTAGTGAGCTCAGAGAAGCCAAGAAACAGGGTAAGAAAGAGAGAAGACACAAGGAAGCACAGGCTGTACTAGCTGCTGCAACTGCTGCTGCGGCCGCCTCTTCTAGGATGTCATCTTTCAGAAAAGATGTATATGAAGAATCTACTCATAGAGAGGTTTTTTTCATGATTTTATCTGAGGTTCTTTACTGCACCTTTATGTTCTGTTAAGAAGTGACTAGTGATGAAATGTTTGACAATGCTTTCCAGTTGATGCCTCGTGCAAAAGAAACTCTTACAAAAGTTGCTCTCCCAAAGGCTTCATTAGAGTCTGATTTCTGTAAAGAACATGTGAGATCCTGTGACATCTGCAGGCGGCAAGAGACAATATTTAAACCAATTTTAGTCTGCTCCAGCTGCAAGGTTTGCACACTCCATCTGCATGTTTCTGTGAAACTGGGAAAAAAAAATATTTGATTGACAGATGGTGTATTAAGCAGGTTGCTGTACATCTGGATTGTTATCGTACTGTTAAAGCGTCCTCAGGTCCATGGTGCTGTGAATTATGTGAAGAATTGTCACTATCAAGAGGGTCTGGAGTGCCAGCTGTCAATCTTGGGGAGAAGTCATATTTTGTTGCAGAATGTGGTCTATGTGGTGGCACCACAGATGCATTCAGGAAATCATCAGATGGCCAGTGGGTCCATGCTTTCTGTGCAGAGGTAAAATGATTTTTCAAAATACAAGGAACCTTTTTTTATATTGGGGAATATAGTAAAATGCGTAAATTATCTATAGTAATTGTCCCTCTCATTTTAACTTGCTTTCTCCTCCGGTCATTTAGAAAAAGATGTCAAAGATAGTGACTGTGCGCTTAAAATTTAATAATTATCCTTATTGTCGATCAATAGAGGATAAGGCTACAGGAAAACTTATTTGTATACATCCTCTTTAAATGTGCATTAATTTGAGTCTACTGTCAACTTGTAGTGGGTCTTTGAATCAACTTTCAAAAGAGGACAAGCAAATCCTGTGGGAGGAATGGTATGTAAAATTGCCAAATGTTATCATTTCACTATTAAATGTGAATATATTTTCATAATTTCTTTTTTTTTTTGAGCATTGGTATTTATGGTTGATTCTAAATCTTCAATTCTACTTCTCTTAATGGGATTCCAGGAGACAGTTTCAAAGGGGATGGACTCTTGCTATATTTGTCACCGCAAGTATGGTGTCTGTTTGAAGGTCTCACTAACTTGCATTTGATCAATATGCCCAATTTAAAGCTATAGTAGTATCGGAATTACTGTTTTTCCATTACTCTTTGCTTTATTGAAAAATGTGATTGTTAAAGTACCTTCATTTCATTGTATTCAGTGCAATTATGGTCATTGTCAGTCCGCTTTTCATCCCTCATGCGCTAGAAATGCTGGATGTTACATGACTGTAAAGACTTCTGGTGGTAAATTGCAGCACAGGGCATATTGTGAAAAACATAGCACAGAGCAGAGAGCAAAGGTTTACAATCTGTCTTGTAATGATTCCTATTCTTGCTGCTTATGATTGTGACATCTGATACTGAACGAACACTGACAGGCTGAAAACAAAACACATGGAATCGAGGAATTGAATAGAGTCAAGCAAATTAGGGTAACTCAATTTGCATTCTAAAAATTTCTTATGAAATTACTTTGCTATTATATTTATGACATGTTGATTATGTCATAAGATTACATTTATGTGGACTTTTGATAGATTATGCTGGATTAGACGATGAACTTTTTTAGTTTAAAACTTATCCTTTTTGCATTGATGATTTCATTTTTAATTATAACTGTGAATTGTTTTTTGTGCAGTCCATTTTCTCTTCTCCATGGTTTTTGTAGCATCTAGTTTGATTATTTATACTTCTTAACGCTTGTGAGCCGACTTTCATGTAGTGTGGGTATTTTGGAACTGAAGGACTTGTCTATGAAGTGTGTACTTTCTGCTGATGTGATATTATCTTTGTCAAAACGGATTTTGGTATTTGTTGGCGACTGCTGGATTGGAAATAACAGTAGATCCTCGCTACGCTACATTTCTTTGGTGGTGCAATGCACTGCCAATATCAAATATTGGTGGTTGAGGAGTACTCCTAGAGTCAGAATATTATTTTGTTCTTGTTATTGATATTAATATGCATTGTTTAAATTGCACATTCTATACTCCATTGGTTGACCTAGTTTCAATATTATGTATATTTTCTTCTGATGTGATGTCATCTTGTCAAAATTTATTTTCCGTACGTTTTGGCGATAGCTGGACTAGGAAGGTTGGCCTTCACCATACTACATTTCTTTGGTGGTGAATGCACGGCCAAAATCATGTTGGTTGTTTTGGGAGTGCTCCTAGAGTCCTAAAATATTAATTTGTTATTGTTATCGATATCAGTAAGCATGCTTAAATTGCACATTATAATCAATAATAAAGAGCTGAGAGGATTGCTGAGGTGGATACAAATTGACCCATAGGTCTCAGATATTAAAAAAAATAATATTGCACATTCTACCCACTTACATCCTATCTCGTGTATGATCTTCCATGCATGTCTGTGTCTGAACTTAACACTTACCTTTTAACTGGCTTGACTTTAGCTATACGTGCTTATATCTGAAATCAGGCTTTAATATTTTGTATGATAGATGTAGAATATTGTTGAATTTTCCATCTCCTTTTGCAGGTTGAACTTGAGAGATTACGCCTACTCTGCGAGAGAATCATCAAGCGTGAGAAGATCAAGGTATGCCATTTTTAACTAAAAAATTCTAGTTCCGTCTGATGTTTATATCTTTTCAATAGGTATTTCCTTTTCATTTTTTTCTTTTTAAGTTTTTTTTTATTGGTAGTTAATTCCCGAGTGCTTGGGGCTTTGGGCTGTAATGTACTGTATCTTGGGCGGATTTGTGGGACGGGGTTATACTAATTAAAAAAACAAAAAGGAAATTGTTGCCTCGAGTGTTTCGAACGGTTTTTCCACAAATTGAGTCAGAGCCTATTTTGTATGTCTGCAGAGGGACCTGGTTCTTTGTTCGCATGATGTTCTTGCTTTTAAAAGAGACCATGTAGCACGATCCGTACTAGTTCAGGCTCCTTTCTTCCTACCTGAAGTTAGCTCTGAATCAGCTACCACATCATTAAAGGGGCACGTTGAGGATTTGAAATCGTGTAGTGAAGCTGTGCAGAGATCAGATGATTTAACCGTGGACAGCACAGTTTTCAGCAAGCACTGGAACAAAGTACCAATGTCTTTGGACAATGAGCAAAAGACTGACGACGACAGTTCTGCATCTCAGAACCCATTCCCCCAAAAATTTGCAGACAGGGGTCAGTTTGCCGGGAAGCAAATACCGCAGAGATCTTTGACTGCCACATCATCACGTAATCTTGTAGATGTTGGAGGATTGAAGTTTAAGTCAAGAAAGGTAAAGTATTACATTCCCTTGTTCCTTGTTATTGCCTACTGAGGTTGTAAATTCAATTATGTGCTTTATCCTAACTTGGGGTTTATTATGTATCGTAGCATGCTGAGACGTTTCAGAAAGAACTGGTAATGACATCCGACCAAGCATCAATGAAGAACTCTCTTTTACCTAAGCAGTACCTGTATGTTCCTGCTGATGTCCTTGCCAAGGAGAAGCAGGTCAACCAGGAAACAGGTTCTGCCAAGACACCGAAATATGAGAGGTAGATGGAAAAGGTATTTCTCGTGTGTTTCACATTTCCTCATCAGAGGCCAAACATCGATATGCCTCTGACCCATAACTTGCTTGGAAACCGAGTCCGAGAGCAAGTAATATGGCCGATGGAGAAGAGCAGCAGCAGGGGGAATGCTGGGATGGACTCCAGCAGGGTGCCAGATTCCGAGTTGGGCAATGGAAGTTTTGGCATGGCAGATGTGCGTTCGAGGTCGAGATTAATTGTACTGGTGGGTGGAATCATACGGTTAAATGTTGAAATGGGGGCAGATTCGAGTTTCCGTTGTCTTTGTGATGTCTTCCTGATCGAATTTTGAGAAGTATTAGCCGTTGTGTACGCGAAAGAGTTGGGGGAGGGAAAAGGAAAAGAAGCTGCTGTGAAGCTACCTTTGTAAAGTTGGTGTTTATAACTCTATCCAATCATTCATTCAGTACATCCTCTACAAACCAACTCACCGCTCAATTCTAAATGGTTCAATGATAATAATCGTCTCTTGTACAAGACATTTTTTGACTTCCTCAATTTGCCTTTTTTATATTTTAAAGTTAATATTTATGTGAGAAAGTGAGTTGTATTTATTTAAAGAGATTAATAATTCAAAATCTATTAAAGTTTGAGTTCGTAGGTTCTAAAATTGATATTACCTGCCTTCAACCAACACGAGATATAAATACCCAATTTTAAAAAAATCATTTACAAATCTGTAAAATGAAAATAATATGCTTCAAAATTACTCAATTACTCTGTAAACAATAAACATAATATGCTTATTCTTAAAACTAAAATAAAAATTATGGATGATGGTTGATTAGTTTATTCATATTATAAATAATATATTTAAAATTGTATAAAATATACCGATAGTTGTTTATTAGTTGTTTATTAGTTTATTCGTATTATAAATAATATGTTTTAATATGTTTAAAAATAACCAGAAATAGTAATATATATTTTTTTACTTCAAATAATGTAAAAGAAACACGATGGATTGGGTAAAAGGAATTAAAAATTCATAAAATGAAAACAGAACGTTAAACATAATATGCTTATTCTTAAAATTAAAATAAAAAGTATGGAGGATTGTTTGTTAGTTTATTCCTATTATAAACAATATATTTAAAATTGTATAAAATATACGTAGAGTTGTTTATTAGTTTATTTGTGTTTAAAAATAACATGAAAGATTGATGTATTTTTTTTTATACTTGAATCTTAAAATAAACAGCAACACACCCTATCGATGATAGGAATTCTTAAAGAACGAAATATGTTCTCTAGTCAATCTTCAAACCTTGTAGAATTACATGTTCCTTTTATAGGGAAAGACTGGTGAAATCTAAATCGACAAATAATCCAAATATATGATCTTGTAGTAGTATACTCTCTGTGGGCGAGAACAACAAATTCATGTGGAACAAGTAGGCCCTAACCTCTAAAGGTTAGTTCACGAATAAGGGTTTTATGCCTTTATTTATTGATATGCATTGATATAGGGTTTGAATAGCCCACTATTACCCAGTTATGAGTTAGACTAATTGCTATTGTGATATAGAAGGTGACTTATGAATTTCATAAACTATGAGTGACTGTTCATGTATTTTGGTCTTAATACCGAATTATGAGTTTCATAGTTTCCATTGGTTGACTAGGTATCTCGTAGGGACGGATAGGGTAACCCCTATATGTGAACTAACCGACATAGGTTAGGGTTTACTTGTCACCCATAGAGGATATTAGAAGTCATTAGAGAGTATACTCCTATGAAACCAAATCAAGGGCGCCTAATTGGGAGAGCCATAATCCTTTTTACTGACCTAGCTCAAAAGGGCGTACTAGTAGGTAGTTTACTGTGCTAGCCTGTAAAGGTAAAAATAACCAGTAGTTACTTTCTCAAGACAGGTAGTTTTATTGATCTACACACGATGAGGATGTATGAGAGCAGGTAGTTTACTGACCCTCATTGATAGGGCGTAGTGGTAGGTAGTTTGCTGTTATACCCGTTAAGGGTACATGAGCAGGTAGTTATTGTTCCAACCTGGAATGAGCATTGTGACGGGTAGTTACTTGATCTTAGAGCCAGCTGGTTTAAGCTCAATAGGTAGTTAAGTATGGAGTATGACCACCGTTGAGCAAAAAAGGGGTCCTTCGTGTCACAATAAATGACCTTAGGGCTCCTTTTGAGGCAGCAATAGATTTTCATTAGACATTGTTGTTTCTAACTTTTCAAGTGGAATGTAGACAATTGTTGGTAGCAGAAGCATGCAGAGCCGTGCAGCAAAAGAAGGGGCCCTTAGATCGAGTCCTCTCTTTTCTTGTCGCTTTTAATACTACTTTTGGAACGAGTTTTTTATGGCATATTTAGAAACTTTAAACTTTCTTGTAGCTTCCATTTTTTTAAAGGAAATGTTGCATCACTTTTTACCCTTGAATCTAAGTGGCGGCCCATGATTCAAAGTGTCGAAGGGCAGTCGTTACAGTTAGGTATTAGAACATTAGGTTGTTAGGTCCTATAGACCCTCCCCTTTAGTTGGAGTTAGCCACATTTCCTCCTCGACCGGGTAATCGAGTGAGTGAGGTACCTAGTAAACTACCGATATGACTAACACTCCCTTTCAGGCTAGAACAGTAAAACTATCGATATGAACTGCAACCCGTATCCGTCTCTATAGGGTACATAGTCAACCCAAGGAGACTGGAACTCATGACTAGGTGCTAGGACCAAAATACGTGAAACAGTAACTCATAGTCTATGGAAACCATAATTAGTACTCCATATACATAGCAATTAGTTCAATTCATGATTGGGCAATAACGGGCTATCCAAACCCTAAATCAATGCATAACAATGAATAAAGACATACAACATGCTCATCGTGCTTATTAAGTGATAATAATCCAACCTCAGCATGCTAAGAAACATGTAAGTCCAATTATCTACCAGAGTTCACAAAATCATGCATGCGGAAGCTATATGACGATAAATATAATCAAGTGGTAAACTATTCCCATCATTTAAGCACAATTCTCATGAAACTAAGTCAAACTAGTCTCATAAACATAATACTCAATCATTGCCCTCAAACCTAATCGACTCTTACAAGTAATTTCGTAGAAACTTGCTCCATATGGTTACTTACTAGATTGTAGACTTTTGGAGCTTGTTTCGGGTCTTCAAGGATATTCCAAATTTCTCCAAAATTCCTCAATATGCCCAAAATAAAGTCAAAACAATAAAACTGATAAAATGGCTAGTTTTAAATTCGTTACAGAAAAAGTTGAGAAACTAACCATGAACTGTACGTTCATCTTCTCCAACTTGTGTACATGACATTCTACATTCATTCTTTTTTTTTCAAATTCTTTTTTTTGGTGAGTAGACCTTAGTCACCCACTTATTGGGATTTGCAAGAAGCTGAGTTTCTTTGCTTTCTTTCGTCACATTAGAAAAAGAAAAAGTCAAAGCAGCCGCTAAGGTTACCCACTTATTGGGATCGGCAAGAAGCTGAGTTTCTTTGCTTTCTTTCGTCACGTTAGAAAAAGAAAAAGTCAAAGCAGCCGTTTAGCACATCTTGGTCAAGCAGTAAAGGAAAGAAATGCTTCGTCACTCTTCATCCATAGTATCCTCTCTAACTTATGCATCTTCTGGTTGAGAATTTTGGGGCCAACAAGGCTGGGACTTGATTTTCCAGCAATGACCGGTCAAGGTCAATCAAAATGAGGAAAAACAGATTGATCTCAACATAGAAGAGATCTTAACAAGTCTGATCATCATCTCTAAAAGGATTGAACGTCGAATTGATCATCGACTCAATATCTATCATCTTACCACCGTACATTACAACATGCCTCCTGAAAAGTTAACAAAGGGTGCTGATATGCATGTGGTTTAGCCGATATGCATTAATTAAGCCTATAGTGATGAGTAGCCCTAGCAATGCACTCTCTTTTGGACTGTCTTACGAAATATGGGGTAAAATTAATTTGGTTAAATCCTACTTCATATCGTTGAATCAATACAACTTAATATGGAAGAACTAACATAATGTACCTTAAAAGTTGAAAAACTCTGCCGATTAATGCTAAATCTCCTTGGTTAGAGGAGAAAAAAGTCCTGAAGAAGTTGCTGCAAGATAGGAGACCAATGTCCAACAAAGAAAAATAAATGATAATCATGAGCGCAAATTATGAGTGGGGAAAGAAGAATTCAAGAAAGATTTTTTTATCTTACCAAATGACATGAACCTACCAGAAAGATGATATATTTCATCTCCCGCTAATCTTTGAACCCTAGAAAGCTCATACAATGTGAGATCATATTTTAAGGGTGTGATTAGAAATCCTAAAGAAGTTGCAACACCATTTGTTACCAAATAATACGAATTCTCTAACGGAATTGCTAATATTCAAATCCTAGAGGGAACAACCATCATGAACACTAAAAAATTGCATTTGATATTTGTAAGTATGAAAAAAAATTTCCATTGGAAGTCTTCATTGTGAAAGCTTCCATATAGATTTGAAGACTGTCTCGACTAAGCTTCAAACCTGTATAATTAGATGAACTTCAAAAGTTTTTATAGAGATTTAACAAAATTGTATAATTAGGGATTTTTAAGATCAAACCTACGTGCGCTTGGTTTAGAATCTTGAATAAAGATTAGCACTTGTCCTTTATTGAAATTGCTTCAATATAGATTTGAAGATCATCCCTCGATAATCTTCAAATTATCTTCTTAAAATATCTAATTATCCAATTTTTTGAAATCTCTAGATATTTTTTAGATCGCTTCTCGCTAAACTTCAAAACTCTAAAACACTTATTATTTTAAGATTGTCTCCCGCTCAAGAACTTCATGTGTACAAACTTCATGGAAGATTTGAAGATCATAACCGGTTAATCTTTAAAACCTAGAGTACTTATCAATTTTGAGAATCCAAATAGAATAGTAGAAATCATTGAAATGAGGCAAAATAATATCTTACCAAATAATACGAACATACTAGGAAGTTGAAGATCATCACCTACTAATCTTAAAACTCTAGAACGCTCATACTATTTCATATCACACTTGAGTGTTTAAGTAGATAAGAAATCTTAAACGAATAAAAAATTGCACCCAAAGATTTCACAAAAACGAATAAGTATGAGAACATTCAAAACCTAGAGTCAATTTTGCGAACTTAAATAGTATGGTAGAAATCTTTAATATAAGATAAATTTATATCCTACTACCGAATGATATAAACAAATGATATAAACAGAGTAGAAAGTTAAAGATCTATCGCTAATCTTTAAACTCTAGAACACTCGTACTATTTGATACCACAATAAATATAAACTTCATGGCGATTTCAAGGTTATAACCGGTTAATTTTCAAAACTTAACAGAATAGTAGAACATTCAAAGAACCTAGAGCACTCATCAATTTTGAAAACCCAAATAGAAGAGTAGAAACCTTTAACTACTCTAACAAAAGGAAAAATTATATCTTACCAAATGAATAGACTAGGAAGTTGAAGATCACCTCCCTGATTTGAGATAACACTTAAAAGTGTTTGGTTAGAAATCTTAAACAAGAGATTTAACATAAAAGTACATTAAAAAAAACTTTAACAAGAGATTTGATGAAAAATCTATGGTTAGAAAACTTTCTAAGAAGTCGATTAGAAATCTTTAACAAATAAAAAATTGCACCAAAAGACTTCATAGAGATGGTAAGATAATAACTCGTAAATCTTCAAAACCAACCATACTCATAATTTTTTAGAAACCAAAAAGAATGGTAGGAATATTTAACTTGAGGCGAAATCATATGTTATCAAATGATGTGAACATTCTAAGAATTGAAGATCATCTCTCGCTAATCATCAAACTCTTAAATGTCTATACTATTTGAGATCACACTTATGTGTTTGGTTAAAAATCTTAAACAAAAGATTTGACGATAAAGTATTAAAAATCTTAAACAAGAGAGAATTGACAAAAAAAAAAAAAAAATAATAATAATAATAAATAAATAAATGTTAAGAGAACATTCAAAACCTGAGCCCTCATCAATTTTGAAAATTCAAATAGAATAATAGAAATCTTTAACACATATCTTACCAAATGATATGAACATACTAAGAAGTTGAGGATCATCTCCCGCTAATCTTCAAACTCTAGAACGCTCATAACTATTTGATATCACGCTTAAATGTTTGGTTAAAAATTTTAAACAAGAAATTTGACCAAAGAGAACATTCAAAACCTAAAGCACTCATCAATTTTGAAAACTCAAATAATCTTTCACGTAAAATCATATTTTACCAAATGATATGAACATACTAGGAAGTTGAAGATCATCTCCCGCTAATCTTCAAACTCTAGAACGCTCATACTATTTGATATCACACTTGTGTTTGGTTAAAAATCTTAAACAAGAGATTTGACCAAAAAAAAAAAAAAAATTGTTAAGAGAACTTTTAAAACCTAGAGCACTCATCGACTTTGAAAATCCAAATAGAATATAGTAGAAATCTTTAACATTAGGCAAAATCATATCTTACCAAATAATATGAACATACTAAGAAGTTGAAGATCATCTCTCGCTAATCTTCAAACTCTAGAACGCTCATATTATTTGATATCACGCTTAAATGTTTGGTTAAAAATCTTAAACAAGAGATTTGACGACGAAAAAGTATATTAGAAATATTAAACAAGAAATTTGACCAAACAGAACATTCAAAACCTAGAGCACTCATCAATTTTGAAAACTCAAATAATCTTTCACGTAAAATCATATTTTACCAAATGATATGAACATACTAGGAAGTTGAAGATCATCTCACGCTAATCTTCAAACTCTAGAACGCTCATACTATTTGATATTACACTTAAGTGTTTGGTTAAAATCTTAAACAAAATATTTGAAAAAGAAAAAAAAAAATTAGTTAAGAGAACATTCAAAACCTAAAACACTCATCTATTTTGAAAACTCAAATAGAATAGTTGAAATCTTTAACACAAGGAAAAATCATATCCTACCAAATGATATGAACATACTAGGAAGTTAAAGATCATCTCCCGCTAATCTTCAACCTCTAGAGCGCTCATACTATTTGATATCACACTTAAGCAAGAGATTGGACTAAAAAGCATATTAGAAATCTTTAAACAAGAGATTTGACCCAAAAAAAATTGGTGGTGATTCAAATAGCACTAGAATCTCAAATTTACCCATTATTTCTCATACTTTTTAGGAACAATAATCCGAACCACTAAATCTACGTAAATAGAGTCAGAATAAAAAATAGTTACCAAAATGAGAAACACTGCAGATCAAGCCGTTAAGATGTATTTTAAAATATTAAAGATATTTCGCCTGTTTGGGGCAATGCTAAAGAAAGAACAAGAGAAAAGAGAAAAGTTGGCCACTCCAAGCCAAAAAAGTTTTGAAACAGAAATATATATAGTGAATGTGATTTGAAATCTAACTCCTATGCATAATAGCAAGTAAAACCAATGGAAGGGCTGCAATAGAAACAAACACTTATCACAGAAGTGTCAACATTAAGGTTCCAAACATGGGGAAGAAAACAAAGAAAAAGCTAACCAGTTTTTTCATATTGTTACTACAACTAAATAGAAAAACTACAACACTTATTTTGCAAAAAATTACAGTTAGGTGTCTGTAAAAATTTCTCAAAGGATCTAATGTATGCTTTCTAGAGAGTTAGATTGTAGCTTCAATTTAAGACAATATATTATGGTTTATTTTAAGATTGTAGGTCGGTACTAGGTCATGCAAGCATAGGTCATTTTAGAATCATACAACATATAAGGAAGAACTGTATAACATAAACATACCATAAAAGTTGAAAAACTTCGCCGATCAATGCAAAATCTTCAAGAAGCTAGGAAACTAATTTTCAACCCAGAAAATAAATGTTAATCATGAGCGCAAATAATATGAGAGGCAAAAGAAGGGTTCAAGAAAGATTTTGTTCTTTTCTAGCCACTATTTTCCAACCTCTCAAAATTTTCAGCTGCTGGGGAATTTAGGAGGCCTAACGCATATGGTTAAGAACTGCACAATTGCAATACAAAAAGAAAAGAAACAAAAAAACCCGACAACAGCACTAATCCGACAACAAATTGGTGGTTAGTCAAATAGCACTAATCCGACAACAATCTGACAATTTAAGTCCATGAACATAAGGTCAGGATCAACACTAAAGATATTACAGATATTTTACCACCACCCTTACGATTGCTTAAATCCAAGTCTACGTAGACGAACAGAATTAAAAACGAACAAATCCTCTGTTCAGAATCTGCTTTCAACAATAAAAATAAAATAAATTTTTTTGAAAGTTTCTTCTTCTTAAGACGTGGAACATTTACCAGGTTAGGGTTTCTAAGGAATCGACATGCAGTTTTCACTATTAATCAATTTAATTTCGGATTTACAAACAAGCAAGTATGTTAGGGTTTTCCTAATGAATGGTAAAATATAAACTATTTTTGAAACAGCAACAAAATGATAATAAATCGAAATTTCGAATGTAGGATGAAGGATTCAGAAAGAGGAGTGTTAAGAAAATCTCATCAGCATCCGAAGAAACTCCGCACCTTTAGGATGAATACTAACCTAGGTATTCATCAGAGCTTCGCGTTTCTCTCCCATTAGAAGAATTCTTTTCTGCCAAAACTGCTCTCTGTTCAATCATGGTATGAAATTGCTGTCGAATTTTCCATTCACTGGTGGAATTTGAAGTAGATTTTCTCGACTTCCAAACACCCTGAATCAAGTAGCAGATTTTTCCGTTGATGAAAACGAAATTCAGACCGTTTCTCTCGTTTTCCTTCTCGAAATTTCGGAATAACGGGCTGAAATCTCAGACAGGGGAGAACAACCTATAAATAGGGCAAAGGAGCGTGAGTTTTACGCGTTTAGTTTGACTGGTCAATGACTTGTGTTTTACGCGTTTCTTTTATAATTTTTTCAAAATATTATAATTGTTTGAATTAGGTCTTAATTAAAACGAGGAATTAGTAAATATAACGTTAATTGCCAAATTTCTTTTTCCTTTAAAATGAAAATACCCACAATGCCCTCCTATTTTCTTATGTAATTTTTGTTTTTTTTTTTTAATAAAGCTGTAAATTAATTTTAAATGATTTTTTTTAATCAAAATCAATAGAATAATAATGACCAATTTTATGTAATAAATAAATAAATAAATAAATATATATATATATAAATATATTTCTAAAAATTATAAAATAGAAGTTATAAAAATTAAGACAATTTATTTACAACGGTTTAATTTATTAAATTGTTTCAGATTTATTTAAGTTTATATTTAAAAAAAACGAAAGAAAAAGAACGCCGCTGCTGTCTGTGAGCGTTTCCGTACTCTGCGTCGGCATACGAAGCCCCAAGCTCGCGATGGGCTCGATAGACGTCCAATCAGACAATGCCGAAGATGGATCCGCCGCCGCCGCCTCCGCCGATGGACATCTAAAGAAAGTTTCCGCCGACCCTATAAACCAGACATCTAACGAACCAGATGGAGCTACGCCTGAGAAGCCTAAAGAATTGGAGCCGACGAAGAAGCGTATGTCCTCCATGCTTCCTCTCGAGGTTGGGACCCGCGTCATGTGCCGCTGGAGAGACGGGAAGTATCATCCCGTTAAGGTCATCGAACGTCGGAAGTTGCAGGCTACTGGTTTTAGTGATTACGAATACTATGTCCACTACACCGAGTGTAAGATACTTCTCTGAAGTTTGCTTTAGTATGTGGGTTTTTGGTTTTGCTTGCGTGGTGGAAGAATCAAGCTGGAATTAGAAATGAATGATTACTTTTTTTCTTTTGGGGTTCCAGAATTTTTTTGATGTGTTGTTTAGGGTTTGCTTGGTGACTTAGGGTTTATTTCTTTTGGTCAATTTAGGGAGTTCGACCTTTGGATTGAATGATACAAGTAGCTCTTGCAGCAATGGGATTTTACATTTCTTTCATGGACCGGTTAATTGATAGAATAAATGGGTACACCCATTTTTCTTTAACCGTAGCGTTCGTTGCTAAATTGATTAGTTTCTTCTATGTGGAGTTTGGAGTTCTCTTTCTTTCTCCTTACCTGGATTTTATGATAGTCAATAGGAGACTTGATGAGTGGGTGAAGCTTGACCAACTTGATCTTGAATCAGTTGAGACGGTTGTTGATGAGAAAGTGGAGGACAAGGTAAAGTTTAATTTTCTCTGTCCCTTTCATTTTTAAAAATTTAACCTATCCGCTTCTGAAGGCTTGTCACTGTTTCTTGTATGGAAAACTTAAAGGTTATCCTTGGGCATGACTTGGTCCTTTTGAAATCCATGTTTTACTTGTAAGTATTTAACATGAGAATCTCATTCTTGCACTTGCAGGTAACAGGATTGAAGATGACCCGACACCAGAAGCGGAAGATTGATGAAACGCATGTTGAGGTATGCATTTTTAAGGATGTGGCGAGTCCTTTGTTAAAAAACATACTGCATAGGTATTTGCTAGTTATGTCCTTGTCACATCCACCAGCTGTAGATGTTTGGGCAAGCAGGAAACTCTGTTGTCAATCGTAAGGCAATTCTGTTAGATAGTGTAGTAAAAAATATGTTAATATTTATATGTTGTGATATTAAATTGGAGTGTCTAACAAAATTTCCCTGCCTTCATTATGAAATGTTTTCTTATCTTTTTTCAATTGCATAGGGCCATGAGGAACTTGATGCTGCTAGCTTGAGGGAGCATGAAGAATTTACAAAAGTTAAGAATATTGCAACAATTGAACTTGGAAGATATGAGATTGAGACATGGTATTTCTCCCCCTTTCCACCAGAATACAATGACACTACAAAGCTCTATTTTTGTGAGTTTTGTCTCAATTTCATGAAGCGCAAAGAACAGCTCCAGAGACATATGGTGAGAGGTTCTCCAAATTCTTTCTTGTGGTAGTTATGAATGATTAAGTTGGGATGTCTGTAAATGGAATTTTGAACTTTCGTTCTCGACGATGAAACCCTTCGGTTGCTGATTGCTGATATTGTCTTGGGCATACGATTTTTCTTTTTAATTTTTGTGAAATAGTGTGCAAGGTGCATTATTTTCATGTGTCAGACCATTTTTCTTAATGTCTAACTGGCTGGACGAAATTATATGCGCAGATATGCATTATTGAAATAGTTGAGTTATAAGAGTTATTTAACATTTACTACTGGTGGCTTTATTTCAGCCTGTTGGCTGCTGCTTCGTGTTTTAACATAGTAAATGTTGTCTGTGCTTGAAACATCTTGGAAATGATTTTTTACCTGACCCCAGTTAGAGATGTGAGCATTAATTATGAGAGATTGATTGTTGATGTGCAGCAGCTTGATTACGCACCTTTCTGTCATGTTAAGCCACCAATACATATATGTGTGTGTGTAGATTCAGCTATCATTTTATATAATTGTAAACTTGTAACACAAATTGACATTTTTATTTCATTGTCAAAAGCACCGTGTTTTCTATATTTATAATATAGACAAATTTGAGAACATCTAACAATTCTGATATGATCTTCGGATAGGAAATATGATGTATTTTCTTATGTTCCCTTCAGGAACATCAAATAAAATTGATGGTTGGTTTTGCATGATTCATTATCATTAGCCTTTTGTATGTGCATAATACTAATAAACCATCCTAAACTCGTGCTTTGTCCATGTAGAGGAAGTGTGATCTCAAGCATCCACCTGGTGATGAAATATATCGAAGTGGTACTTTGTCAATGTTTGAGGTATGGTCTTAATTAGGTTTTCAATCTTTTGGCTTGTTTGCAGCTGTGAACCTCATTGTTTTATTATCTCGTTCATCATCTAAATACCTTTTTCTTTTCACTTTTGGACTAAAAGTAGTGCCATTCTTGTTTTTTTGGTTTTGACTAGGTTTGCAATCTTTTGGTTTCTTTAAATAGTTTATCATTAAAGTACTTTTTATTTTTTTTCTTTTGGATTGTAGAAGTAATGCCATTATGATTTTCTGGTTTATTTTCTGTTTGCTTGTCAATGCCTCAGTGTTGGAATATCGACTATTTTTTAAACAGTTCATACAACCCTTGACATCTCCTGTACTCGCATTTAGCAAAACTGTTTTAACCTGTCATAAACAATAAAAAATAAGGCACTTGAAGCTATAGGATAATGTTTTTATTATTGCAGATTGATAATTCCTCATATGACTTTTTCTGCTAATTTTTTGCTGAAACAGGTTGACGGAAAAAAGAACAAGGTCTATGGGCAGAACCTCTGTTATTTAGCGAAGTTATTTCTGGACCACAAGACTCTATATTATGATGTGGACCTTTTTCTATTTTATATCCTGTGTGAGTGTGATGATCGAGGGTGTCACATGGTTGGATATTTTTCAAAGGTAATTTTTGGTTCATCATAACTGCTATTCAAATTAAAGTGGTATGATTCTGAAGAATGACGAAGTAGAGTGGTGTTTTCTTTGTTACTACTGTAATTTTATTTTCTTTAGGGTGATGAGGAGAGAGGAGAAAACATCACCTTACCTATAAAGGACATGTCAAGACATGAAACTCTCGAATAGGTTTGAATTTAAAGGGGGTATAATAATGACAAGGTTTGGGTAAGGAGATCCATTTATGAGCGAGAAAAATTGTAAGATGCGCCAAAATATTTGCTCAAACAGTATAGACCATACAAAATAGCTGTCCTTAAGTAATTTGTAATTTCATAGATTTTAGGTTTGTTCTGAAAGCTGACCTGAGATAGCTTGAATCAAGTAGTCCTGGATATTATGGGAAAAGCACTGTTGCAAATTAGAGAGCTGAAAAATGTAAACTCACTGTCCCCGGGAAATTGTTGCCAAGTACAGAAATCCACTCTCTAGTTTCAAAATCTAGGTCCACTCCTCTGCAATCAGGATCTGTTTGGCCAACGGGGAATTTTGAGCTTATCAGTTTATTGAAGACCATTTTATATCTTTCCAAAAGCAAGTTTTACTGTCCTTCTCCTTCAAGTTATAAGCATCAAAGAGAGAGGTTGTCCTGTCCTTTTTTCAAATTAGTGGAGTTTGCAGGGTTGAACATTATTTAGGAGGGTACCCCTATCATACCTTTTTCTAAAGGGAAAAATGGATACAAGATATAAGTTCAAATTTAATTTATCTACTGTTCAATTCTTCAAAAAAAAACAAAAAAGTACTAATCAATATACAAGGGGTTTTTATACATGATATACTCTCTGATCCATACTTTCGTTGTTTCTTTTATCTTCGGTGGGCTTGTGGATGTTAGTGCTAGTAGTGAATGGTATAGAAATAACGAAACTCGTATCGTGTGGATAATGAAATGTAAGATGAATTCACGACAAATTGCTTTAGAACTTATAAGCTGAGAACATTATTATGACTATATTATGTGTCGGCGTGCAGGAAAAGCATTCAGAGGAATCCTATAATTTGGCATGCATTCTCACCCTTCCTCCTTATCAAAGGAAGGGCTATGGAAAGTTCTTAATGGCTTTTTGTAAGTTCACCACATGCCTTAAACTGCCTCTATTTTTTTGGCTTATTGTGTCTGCAACTAGCGACCTTGATTAGCTTTGTTCTCTAGCATTGAAAAGTATATCACTAGCAGTGTCTTGCCTGCGTGGTTTTCTCCAGTTCGGTTTGTTATTTTCGGGCATCCGCCTCTTTTTTTGGGTCACCATCACCATGTTTTGACGGAGTGTTTTAATCTTCTATGAACCTGAGAGATCAGCTTATGAACTCTCCAAGAAGGAAGGTAAAGTTGGCACTCCTGAAAGACCTCTTTCTGACCTTGGGTTGGTGAGCTACAGAGGATACTGGACCAGGGTACTTCTAGACATCTTGAAAAAGCACAAGGGGAATATCTCTATCAAGGTATGCATTTTTTGCCTCTTATTGAAATTCAGTGTTTGCTGTCCAGTATTGACTCAACTAAGTATTCGACAAATTTTAAAACATTTGACTGAAGTTACTTTGTTCCTAAAAATTTATGTTAATTACTCTTGGAACAACTCCTAAAGCCATAAGATTTTGTATCTGATAATGCTTGGCACATTGGTCATCCCTTTATGGCAGGAGCTAAGCGACATGACAGCCATCAAAGCCGAAGATATTTTGAACACACTTCAGAGCCTGGAGTTGATTCAATACAGGAAAGGGCAGCATGTTATATGTGCCGACCCCAAGGTGCTGGATCGTCATCTTAAAGCTGCTGGTCGTGGGGGCCTAGAGGTCGATGTTAGCAAATTGATCTGGACTCCATACAGAGAACAAGGTTGAAGCTTTCCAAACTCATTATCAAGTCTGATGGTATCTATTCCAACTCTGCATGTACAATAATTGTGTAGAAGTGTAGTATAAAGTATTAGCCTTCCCATTTCTATCTGCCGAATGTATGCCTGGACAATCAAATACTGTACACCTTGAAACTAGAAATGGTAGAAACCTAGCTCTTGTACATCACCGGTTGCTATTTCTTCGACATTTTGGTTTGTTTTACTTGTGTGTATCCCTTAACCTTTGATTCAGGTGATGTTTGGTTTGGTTATTAAGAGATCATTCTTGACTTGACCAGCTACAACTTTTCCTTTCAGAAAGCAAACATATTTATTTAATGGTAGAAAAGAAGGTATGAGATGAGAAGAACGAATCATTACTTGTAAGGGTGTGGAAACTTCTCCCTAATAAACGCGTTTTAAAACCTTGAGAAAAAGCCTAGAAGTGAAAGCTTTAAGAGTACAATATATGCTAGCGGTGTAGATTGTTACAAATAGTATCAGAGCTAGACACTAGGTGATGTGCCAACAAGGATGTTGGGCTCCCAAGAGAAGTGGATTGTGAGATCTCACATTGGTTGGAGAGAGAAATAAAGCATTGCTTATAAGGGTTGGAAACCTCTCGCGTTTTAAAAATGTTTTAAGGGTGTGAAAATCTCTTTTTATCAGACACATTTTAAAATCTAGAGGTAAAGTCCAAAGGCTTTCTAAACTAGGGGGCTCCAATTGAAGCTATAATGTGAAACGAAAATTGAAGCTACATTGTGAAACGAAAATTGAAGCAGGGATATCAAAATTTTTAATATTTGGCCAAATTGACTTGGATGTTCGGGATGTCCCGTTAAGATTGACATAGGGGTCAATTATCATTGGATGTGTCTGAGCAAGCTAAGATGGCTGATGTGTCTCGAGACATGGGATGAGATCACGATGCATGGGTCTTGCTCTTATGGACCGAAATGACAATGAGATACGATGTTGTGTCGCAACGATTGAACATGCACGCACGAACAATGTGTGCCCAAACATCCAAATTGACTTGGATGTTTGGGATGTCCCGTTAAAATGATCAACACAGGGGTCAGTGGGGTGTGTCTAAGCAAACCAAGATAACCGATGTGTTCCGAGACATGGGACGTCACGGTTGAAGATGTACCACCGTGAAATTTTGTCCACGGTTTCAGTAAGAAAGTGTCTTCATTTTCTTCCGATGTTGCAAATATGTTGTTGCAAATATGTTGTTTCAGGTGCTAGAATTTGCAGCAGGGGATAATGTAAACAACTAAACAAGTGATTTAGAATGAATACTTCACTCAAATTTGAAACTTGAATTATGAAGATTTGAGTAACAATCACATTGTCTTCATCACTTGTGATTGAAACACAACCAAAAACTAGAAACAAAAACAGAATATTTACAGAGCTCTCCAATGAATCTAAGATTAACCATTTCATCAAACAGTCGTAATCTGAAGCCGATGCTTCGGAACATGAGTTTGCTGAATCTGCAAGCTCTGTAATACAATTCCACCTGACCTCCTCTTCCAAAGATTCTCCATTTCCCCTCTTTCTTCTCCGCCCTTCTGCACTCGCCGGACCACCGGCAACGGCGGATCCAAATCCACAACGCTTAATGATTCACAAACACCCTTCTTCTTACTTGCAAAATCTGGGGTGGGTCTTCTTCTGCTCCTACAACCGTTGACACCCGCTGTAGATACCGATGCGGCGGCGGCGGCGACGGCGGTGGACCTGGTGGTGCCGGTGCCAGAGGGGGAGGGGGAAGCCAAGAGATTTTTGCTGGAGAAAAATTTCTTCAACTTAAAGTAACCAACGTTGGGACTGTTCTCATTTTTGGTCGTAATCAAAATCCGGTGGGAAATCGGAAGACCTGCAACTCTGTTATTCCGCTTCACTTGACCCATACATCCGATTCTCGGCGACAAAGGGTCGCCGGAAAATGACTCCGAACGGTCCCGGTCGCATCTCGGCGGCCGGCAGTCTTTGGTCGCCGGCTTAGAACAGAGCATCGGCAAGAACATGTTTTTCTGGCGAATATTTGATGGGTTAAACCGATTGTATTTGTCACCCATCTCTAATTTCTTCCCTTTCTACAAGAACGTACTGAAAGAGAAGAAGACAGAGCTTGGACCTTGATGCAAAACCAGCAATGGCTTCCAAGAGCTCCTCCTCTGGTTCAGCTGCTTTGTACAGAGGAGGAGAGAGAGAGGGTTTATTGGGAAGTTAACAAAGAAGGCCAAATGGGAACCAAAATCTTGGCAGTGTCATCAAATTGAACTAAAAATCCATGGAAGTTTGTCAAATATGAACAACGTTGATTGAGTCTTGGCTCTTGCCGGTTTGTTGCTCTTTTGGGATGTTAATAAATACTCCACACATTAATGTTTGGCTCTGAAATTAATATCAACTTTGAGGGCAATAGGGATCAAAATGTCCACATCGTCACCGTTTATCGTCGTTAATCCTAAACATCAACTAATCTAAACTTTATTTCATCTATATCACGGTGAAACCTATTAGCTAATACCCTTAACTCTAAACTACAATATAGGGTATGTGTTCCTACGCTATCCTTAATAGTCTACTATGGGTAAAAGTCAATATCTCGACATCTTAGGACTCAACGTAACCAGATTGTGGGATAAGGTTGTACTAACTTTCTCGATACTAGAAAAGTCTAAATTCAAGGACACTAAATTTTGATATCCTCTACAACTAAAAGACTGATGGGTATGTTACCTTGTCTCATTAATTTACTTGGGGTATTAGTCGTCGAGATAAAAAATTATTATCATTTTTCTAACGTATAGAATGATTAACATGACAATGAAAGGTTTCGTCTTGTTTCGTTTCCCGATTGAAATGATAGCAACGAGAGAGACCGAGGGTCAAGGGTCAAAGATTATGAGGTAAAGATGGATTTGGATTGGTGGTGTGTGGAAATTTGGTTAAGTTGGAGTAAAGTGAATGAAGAATCTTTAATAATGAGTGGTCCTCTATTTCTCTTTCTCTTCGAGTTATTTTAGTTCATGCCAACTTCTCACGCTATACCCATTGCTTTTGGTAAAATCATGTGCCTTTTGTGCCTTTTGTCTCCTTCCCTTAGTTTTAAAATAGATTATATGTGAGATTCTACGTCGATTAGAGAGAGACCAAAACATTTTTTATAAGGTGTCAAAACCTCTCTCTCGAGCAAATGCGTTTAAATTTTTTTAGGGAAAACCCAAATAGACAATATCTACTACAATGGGTTTGGGCTATTACATTAATTCTACTTTATTTTGTGTTCATATGTGTTTCTAGTTTCGTGTGTTTTATGTCGAGTCAGAAATTTGTTAAAATCTTTCGAGACGCGTATTTACGTTCTTATGTTTGAATTGTTCTCGTAAAAGAAGTATTATAATCACGTAGATTTAACTGGATATTTAAAGGAATCGTATTTCCATTTAGATTGTTTTTATAAGTACTATGAAGATTTAATAATTAAAATAAAATGACTCTTATAAGTTACCCATCTCATTACATACGAACTTATTTGTTGGCTGATCAAACTATCAAGTTGTGAATGGTTTAGATCGAAACACGTGGATGGTTTAGATCGACCATGGATGGACGGTAAGGGGACTTGCCACGTCAGAAGGTAGAGCATATGTAAGTCACGTGCTAGTGAAAAAGAACCACCTGATGAATGAACTTGAGGAAAAGGAAGCATGTGGGCACGTGGGAAGCACGCTAAAGTCGCATTTGGTATCCCAAACTCATCATGTGCCTTTTTAAATTTTTTTTTATAAAAAAATTATTTATCCGAAATTTTTCATTATTTACCTTATTTATTTATTTATTTATTTATTGTTACCATTTGGCCACGTATCTTGAAACAACCCATCATTTCTTCAAACTACATTTAATTTTTTAAAATATTTTTTAAACTACAAACAATTCAATATGGAGAAATTATTATAATTTTTTAAAATATATTTTTTTATATTATTACTTTTTAAGGATATCAACAACAAAATTATTAATTCTTGAATGCATAGTTTGAATTATTGTTTTTTTAAAACCAAAATCAGATACCATATCATGGTCAATTAGTTGGTGCACACATGTGAACCTCGTTTTATTCTAATTTTTTCCTATTAAATTAACACATGGATCTCATTTTATATTCACTTAAAATAGATAAATAAAAATGTGGTAGTTTCTAATAGATTTCTAAAATTTTAAAAATATATAATAAATTTCTAAACTATATGAAATTTTAATTAAAATATTTAACTTTTTTTAAACAAAATACTAGAGATAAAATTAAATTTGTATAACATTAAGCTTTCGATTTCTTATGAAAGATAAAATCAAAAGAAAAGAAACTTATTATATATTTTTCAAAACACTAAATCAAAAGTTTTAAGATCTATTAGACATTGTTTAAAGTTTAAGAGCCTATTTGATAGAACTTAGAAACTTCGGGGACTATACTAATGAGCTACATACACTAATTTAGTATTAAAAATATCGTTAAAATCTTAAACTATATTTGATCCCTGACGAATAACGTTACAGTTAGTTGGGGAGTCGAAGTAATATACTATTCTCTAGAACAAGAAAAAAGACGGAATATTTGATGAATTAAAGTAATATATATATATATATATATATATATATATATATATATATATATATATATATATTTGTAAAAAAAAAAAAAGGATAATAACTATTTTCTGTCAATACTTTTTTTAAAGGTGAAGTGAATTTTACAATTTCACCACTCCCCAACATTTTCCATCAAATTTTAATAAATAATTATTTTACCAGTTAATAAAAATATTTTGATCTTGTTTAAAAAATATTCTTAAAAAACATATTTAAATTTTTAAACTTTTAAAAATATTTATTATAAAGTACGGAATTTAAGGATATATTTATTAATTTATCTTAACTAGAGTTTTGCTATTTAAAAACAATATATATATATATATTATTGAGTTAATTTATTTTTATTGCCCATATAATCGATATTAAAATTGTAATTTTATAAATATATGACAGATGTTTTTGTAAATATAAATTATATATGTCAAGTTATTTTATTTTCAAAATCTTAATTTTAAATATCGATATTGATATATATGATATTGAATATATCGACCCATCAATTGATATTTCATTGAATATATGTATATATTTGTNAAAACCCCAAAACAGTAGAGGATGAGAGGCAAAAGAAGGTTTATTATTTGGAGAAAGGCAACAGAAAGTAGGAAGG